GGATGGGAGCATTGGAATGGGGGGTGGGGCTGAGAGTGGCTGGCTCTGAGGGAGGGGTGGGTGTATTGGGATGGGGGATCTGGGAGCCTGGCTCTGGGGGAGGAGTGGTTGCATTGGGAATACTTATAATTTTTTTTTAAAGGTACTGGGGAAAAACTTAAAAAACAATAGTCTTGTAGAACTTTAAAGACTGACAAAACATGTAGATGGTATCATGCGCTTTCATGGGCAAAACCCACTTCTGTCCACCAAAGCTCATGATACAATCTACATTTGTTAGTCGCTAAAGTGCTACTAGACAGTATGTGGTTTTTTAAGTTTTTCCTGTTATAGACTAACTCGGCTACCCCGCTGAAGCTTATAAAAAAAGGTTGAGAAACACTGCTCTGTACCATTCCTTTTGGCCTCCCTGTTTCCTTTCTCCTTTGGAGAGTTGGGCAGGCAGGAATTTTGGTAAAAATACATCAGACATGTGCACACAGTGCCAGCTCCACCTCAGCGGGTGCTGGATAATCAGAACCCCAGTTCTAAAGGAGTTGGCATTACTGAGGTGACAGATACCCCCCACGTTTTGTTGCGGATTTTCCAAAGAAAATGCTGGTGTTTTCTGTAGGGCACCCTCATCTCCCAGTGACTTGTTATAGCAGTGACTTGGGATTAACATGGCTTTCTCAACTAAAAGTCTTATACATGTTTGGATGTTGTGATTGTGAATACCTGGCGAGGCAGTCTGCTCAAGGCAAAGTTGGCCTTGAATCTTGGTATCGATGGCTTCAAATGGCTTGTGTGAAATTTGGAAGAGCAGCTCAGAGAGACCTCTCTCCTTTACTTAAGGATAGAATCTCAAGGCAGCCTGAAGGAAAAAGTCCTCATGGCAGACAGAAAGCCACGCTTGCAGTGTATCCTCAGCTGTATGCTATTTATTGCTTCAAGTGCCTTCAAAAAAGAGAGGCTGATTCTCATGTTGTGCATAAGTTTTTTTTAAAGTTTTCTGAGTATTATTTTAACAGGTAAATTAATCTCTCAGGCTGAGTCTACACTGGCCCCTTCTTCGTAATAGCCAGGCTAATTTAGAACTTTGGACTAGGGAAATGCGCGGGGGATTTAAATATCCCCCGCGGGATTTAAATAAACATGGCCGCCGCTTTTTTTCCGGCTTGGGGAAAAGCTGGAAAAGAGCGTCCAGACTGGCGCGATCCTCCGGAATAAAGCCCTATTCCGGAGGATCTGTTATTCCTACTTGAAATACTTGCACCATACTTGCATCATAACCTTGAAAGTAGGAATAAGGTGCAATGTAGCCGACTCCATCTTGGTCTCCAGATCTGCTCCTGACCCCAGATGCGGCCTCGCAGGGAATCATGAGCCGGGAAGAACTGTGGACCCATCCTGACATAGGATGTTCACCAAGAACTTTTAAGCCAGCAGTTATAACATCTCTGCTGCGAGCCTGCATCGAGAACTGGGAGATACGATGCATGTAATGTATGATACTTTGACAACCTTACTCTCATGCTTTTCTTTCTCTTAGTAATAAACCTTTAGATGTTAGATTCTAAAGGATTGGCTCAGCGTGATCTGTGGGTAAGATCCAGAGGGTAAATTGACCTGGGATCTGTGGCTGGTTTCTTGGTTTGGGGAAGGTGAGTTTGGGCTCTAAAACCCCTCACCTAAGTATGAGGCCCAGGGCTATCTAGGGCATGGATATGGATGGCGTGTAGTAGGGGTTTTGCTCATGAGGCTTCAGGCAGTCAGCTGAAGCACTCTGTGGAACTGGTTTGTGGCCTGTTTGGGAAGGTCTCCAGTGTGGGGGTTGTAAGGAGCCCCAAATTTGAGGAATTCACCCTGAGCAGACACCCTCAGCTGTGCCCACACCTGGCCCGGTCCATCACAAGCTGCCAGCTTGGCCACCAAAGGCCACATGCGAGCCCAGGAGCAGGTTTGCATGAAAATCCAGTTGGTCCAGTGAGACCCCCGACCCTGAGCCCTGAGCTTCCCCTCCCCTTTATTCTCCTTGTTTTCCCCCTCCCAGCTCCCTCCTTCCGGGTTTCCCCTTCCCCTCTCCTACTCTCTCTTCCCCTCTCTAGCCTCCTTTCCCCACTCTCACCAGAGTTTCATTCCCTCCCCCGCCAGTTTTGTTAAATAAAGAGAGTTTGTGTTCATGACAATACATGTATTTTATTTGATATCAGGAATGGGGGTTAGGGAGGGGTAAGTGGAAGAATGTGAGGGAGGAATGAGGCACAAGCCCCCAGTGGGGCAGACCAGGGAGGCTGTTAGTGCTCCTCAGGGTGGCAGCTCTCTCACAGGGCCTCCTGGATACTGACTGCCCCCTGATGGACCTCCCGGATGGCAGCCTGCAGAAAGTGCAGCCAGGCTCACAGCAACGCGTCCAAGAGAAGCACAAGAGTGCCCAGGGGCAAATCCAGCTCCATGTTGCAGAGTGCTGTGGTGTCCTGAGTGAGGGCAACCAGAGTATGCAGAGAGAAAATGCTTTGCTGTTCCTCATCGAGGTAGGCAAGCAATCAGGGAAACCTGAGAACCGGCTGTCCAGGGGGGGTCCCTTTAAGCACAGGCCTCAGATAGCCTCAGGTAGCAGCCCCACACAGTAAGTCCTGACCTGGTGCCCTGCTGGACCGGTTTCCTGCTGGCCTTAAATGTGATTCAGCATCCACTCAGCATGGATGCGCTATTTCAAAATAGTAAAACGCTATTTTGTAATGCATTTTGTGTGTAGACACGTTATTTTGAAATAACTTATTTCAAATTAACTATTTCAAAATAAGATATTTCAAAATAATGCTGCAGTGTAGACATACCCCTTTACTTCGGTGTAAACACAATAAATCTCAACAAATCCACGGGGAGGTAACTCTGGATTTACTGATCATTGCAATAAACGCTCACACAGGAATAATCTGAGAGTTCAATGCGAGGCAATGTCGATGAGCAATCCTTAGTTATATCATCATCAACTTAACATCTCAGGTCACATTTATATGCAATTTGTTTCTGGATCCACATCATAGATGTTTACCAAATTCTTTTCACAGTACTTGTTAATAATTAATAAAGGAACATACTCATTGGTTGTGGAAGCTAACCTTATCTTATCACAAATATGTTGTCCCTGCAAAGTACAGCTATGACAAACTGAACAGAAACTACACAGGAACCATTTTTTTAAGATCATCCAGCAGAACTGTAAAGAGAAATTAACACTTTGGAGAGTCATTCAGTGTGTGCGTGTGTGTGCGCGTGCAGGAGGCGTTATTTGTATCCAGATGCCACAGATGGTAGATTTTTGTTCATTTGAGACTATCTGAGAATTTATCCAAGACTTTTAAAAGATAAACTTCACAGCAAAGGTAAGAAAACATCTTCTGTGTTTATTAGTTTCAAATGGAATACAGATTTTATAATGGATTTTATACATAAATGAAATAATGTAACCAGAATCAATCAAAACTGGAGCTAGATAGTTTTAAAAATCTTTCCTGGGGTTAGAAATGGTATTTGAGAAACACATTGTTTTCCAGCTGTGTTCCCAGTTAGCTGTTAAATATTCTGCCATAAGGAACTGGATCTGAAATACATCTTAAAACCCCTCCACTAAGTTCAGGTACATGTGGGAACAATGAGTGTGGTCATACATTGTTCTTGTATTCACTTTTTCGCGTTAATGTAGGCCCTGAGCCTGCAACTACCGCTCCTAAAGATCAACAAGGTGTGTTTGCAGACGTTAGGAATTAATATATTACCGGAAGGCACTCAAGTACTATGGGGATGAGAGCCGCACGACAACCTTTATAGAATAGAACAGAACTGACCAGAAGATACAGAGCCCCACTGACTTCACTAAAGTTCTTGTGACCAAAGGGGTCCTCCAATATAGGCTTCAGTGCAGGATCAGAACCTCAGCATTCATTGTGTAACCTCTCTTTACATGTCTCAGTCTTCATTCATTTGCTAGTATGGCATTTGAGCTAAGCCTTAAATTCCATGTTTATTTTCAATTCACGCTCGTTTATGTGTATCAGTCCTGATTCTCCATTGTTCTGCAGCACCTAGTGTCATTCATCTCAGCTCACTTAATTAGTTTAATTAACATGGGTCCTACAGTTGACAGGTAACTGCTTTTGCTGTTATATATATCTTGGATTCTGTTATTTGCGCTCATACTTTATATATATTTGTTAGTCTGTAAGGACTACTCGATTTTAAAGTTACAGACTAACATGGCATAAAATAAAACACCCCTCTGGGACATTCTGAGTTTTTGTTAGTAATTCAAGATCTTAGGCATATATTTATACCTATATATCTAAGACCTTGAATCGCTAACAAAAACATACTCTAACTTTTAAATTGAAATTAAATAAATTGAAAAGTCTTTTTTGCTTGTTTGGTTATTTCAGTTGTCAGGACCTGATCTCACAGTTCTAGCTATCTTGCAAGAGGTAGCTACAGCACAAATACTTCCAGGGTGGGAGGGAGCCACAGACATTCTGTACATTCCTTTAAGGGTCTTAATTCTAGGAAGTGCTCAAATTCATCTGTGGTAGAAATTTGCCTTTTCCACCTAGCTATAATCACAAAGTCCCTACTGGTAATCAATATAGACCCTTTAAATACAGGCTCTTACTGTAACATAGCAAGGTACTGGATTTGTTCAAGAGAAATAAAATGGTCTCGACAGCCTTTTTTTCCTTGGGTAGTATTGCTTTTCAAAGAAAGGAAAAATAAAACTCCATTGTTATAGGGAATACATAGTGCTACTGCTGTGCTGCTAATTTGTACAGCATCCACAGTAAGGGTCTGCCTGTCACAAAGCAAGGTCTATTTAAAGGCCACAGTACTTTGTTACAGGGAGTAAAGGTTATGGGCACAAAACTGTGTCCTTTGGTCCTCAGCCTCTTCCTGAATACATGAGTTTAATTCCCTAAAGTCAAAAGTGTGTAATGACACACAAGCAAGGCCTCTCCCACACACTCCTTAAATAAATATTAGGGATAAAAGAAAACAAACCACATACAAATAGTACAAAACTGGGATTGCACGGCATCTCTACTTGGAGCTGGGGTATGATTCTCAGCTCAAGTAGACATATTTGTACTAGCTCTCATTGAACTACTGTACTAAACATAATACTGTAGCCATGCTAGCATGAGCAACAGCAAATAGTGGCATGGATTAGCTACCCCATAAGCATAAGGTGTGGATGAATTTATGCTCAGGAGGCTATTATTTTAGTAGATTAAATTGATGAGAGCTAGCATAAGTATATCTTTGAGAGCTGAGTCTGACAGCCTCATCTTTACATGTAGATGTGCCTGGGAAATGTAGTGCTGACATGGTACTCTCATACAGGACAATCCTTACCACCTTAAGTCTGCCCTCTTTGGGTATGTCTACACTACCCCGCTAGTTCGAACTAGCGGGGTAGTGTAGACATACCCCCAGAGCCTAAACAGAGGCCCAAAATTATCACCCAAACCAGTCTGATGTAATGTGCCAGCGTGGATTTATTTTAAGCATTGTGTCTTTTCAGATACTTGCTTCCTTGTTATTCTCACCATCACCACTTGAGTGGATATTGGTAATTATGGGGCTCATATTACCTGAAGAGAAACAGGTATTCAGTGCTCCACACAAACCTTCCCACAAGGTAGATCACCTGGCCCCACTAGTTCAGTTCTGTTTCTCTGGTCTTTGAACTGTTCTCTGGACTGCAGACATGGTAGCCAGAAGATTTACATAAAAAAAATTCTCAAATCTTGCTATTTATTATGAAATAGCATGTGTACACTACAGGGAAGCCTTCAAATCAGTCCAAGGCAGACTCCTGTAACATGGATGGGCCACCTTGATTTAGAGCCCCAGGAGGCACAGGGGAGTAATTACAGCAGAGGTTTGCTTTTGGGAATGGAGATATTTGTCTTTCCTGACCTGAGTAAAACACAGAAAAGTAATATTAGGACACAGCTTAATGTACAGACAGCCTCTTTAACTGTGATTGCACAAATGCAGAGGAAGCTCAATGTGTCCTTTTGTCTCTGTCGGTCAACAGCAAGTAGTCTCAGGATCAATGACACTCCACAGAGCACACTAAGGTCAGGCCTACACCACATGGAAGATTGATGCTCCAGAGGTCAATCTTCTGGAATTCAATTTAGAGGGTCTAATATAGACCCGTAAACTGAAAGCTGAGAGTAGCTCCTGCTGGCATCTGGTATTCCTATTGTGAGGAGTAAGGGAAGCCGATGGGAGCATTTGCTCCCGTCGGCCTCCCACTGTGTGGACAGTACGGAAATGCGCTTTAAGATACATCAACTCCAGCTACGTAATTAACATAGCTGGAGTTGCATATCTTAATTTGACCTTCCGCTGTAGTGTAGATCAGGCCTAAAAGCCTAGTTGGATTGTGTGAATAAAAGATCTGAGTAGTGTTATGCTGGGGAAGTAAAGTACTGTGAAATATCCCCACATTCTCTTGGTTGTCTACAGGGGCAGAGATAGGGTTGTGTAGCTATCTTGTGTGGCAAGTGTCACCTTATCTGCACAGATGCATATAATACCAATATTGTACCCCTATCAGGACAGGGAGAAGAAGAAATATAGATGATATTGTAATTTCAGGGAAACAAAAGTGTTAGTATATTAGGGTACGTCTACACAGTAGAGCGTACCTCAAAAGAAACTACACAATTTGTGCTACACAAATTGCGTAGCTGATTTCAAAATAGCTCATTTTGAAATTTGGTGCTGTCTACAGCACTAATTTTGCAATAAATCACTATTCTGGAGTCTTCCTTAATCCTCGTGCAACAAGCTTTACAGGAAGCCAGAATAAGAAGCCCAGTATTTTGAAAGTATTTCATAATAACAGGTGTGCTGTTAAGACATGCAGAATGCTATTTTGGGATAACAGAAGTTATCCCGAAATAGCGCCACTGTGTAGATGTACCCTAACTGACAGGTGATCGGAATTTGTGTGCAGATGGATTGTGCAGTAGTAAGAGTAATATCAGTGCCTTTGACAATCATGTTTTAACAATGATACATTGTAATTTGTTTGGTCAGAAATTCTCTGGAAACATAACCAATATTAATTCATTATGAGTAGGCTAGGAAACACCAGATTTATTTGATAAATGTCAATAAACATTTATTTCACTGTACACACACAAATCAAAGAATAATATTTCATTGGAATTAATCAACATTTACCAACAAGCAAAATAATAACAATGCTGCTTGAGAACTTATGAAAATTTAATGTAAGGCTATTTACTTTGCATATTTTGGCAGCTGATACCTGTACTGACAATCTGTGCTCTTATGATTATAAAGCTTTATAAATGTTGAATATCAATGGCTAGTGTCATTAAATAATTATTGTTTCCCCTTCCTGTTGTGTTATCACCCACAATTTCTTACAATTCTGAAATGTAAATAGAGAAAAATAAATGATAGAAATGAAAGATGCATAAAAATTATTAGCTATCAAAATTACAAAACAACCCCCAAACTCAAATTCTGCCGAGCCTCATCATGAGGGAATAAAATGGGCTTGAACCTAGTGTGGGTTCTAGCAGAGGACACTTAGGGTGAGAAGCCCACAAAGAAGGAGTTGCAGACAACCACTATTCCTACAAAACCCACTATGCTGGGGTCCCAGAGGCAGCCCGAATAGCGTTCAAAGTGTGTGGTGCTGGCTGGAGTGGAAATGTAGTGAAAGCGCCTGGAGCTATGCTGATTAAACACATCCCAGGGATAGCCTCAGGCATGAATCAAACCCCATCCAATTATTTTAGAAGACATTTCTATGAGTGACTATAAAGTACTTTAATCTGACAGAACACTACCAGCAGCATGGCGGATGTGCTCATTTGGTTGCAAACAACTCAGAATTATTCCTCCCAGGTACTCACAATCCATTTTCATTATCGTTAAGGCACCTTTAATCTTCTCCACATATGTGTAGTACAGGTTACATAGAGACAGATGTTTAAATGTTAGAGTGATATAAAACCAGCAGCAACACCTTACTGATTTCCTTAACAATTCATGTTGGGTAGCTTCCTTATAACTATCCAATGACAACTGGATGCCTTTTTGTCCTAGGTTGCAGGAGAAAATGTTCCAATGGATAGCCTCCAGAAATTTATTCTGTTCACTTTTATCCTATTCGCCTCACTAACAGGTAGGACACTGCTTATCTGTGAAATAACTCATAATGGACACCATTTATAAACTAATTTTTAAAGCACTGTAAATATCTATTACAGTCAGTATCAACTGTATGTGTCACAGTAACTGTTAATAGTGCATGACTTCACCAGCTCATCTTAAAAGGGATTGCTTTATGTGTCAAGCCTGACTCCAATATGAAGGGGGAGGCGGGGGGGCAGGGGAGAGGCATAGAGGAGTCAATGAAGCAGATGCCAGGAAGATCATGGCAAAGGGAAGACAGCAGTTACTTTAAAAGCAAAGTGTTCCCTCTTCATGCCCTCTCCAGAGGTGAGGGAGCTCAGCTCCATGCAGAGTTCCACCTCCTCCTGCCTCTTCGCTGCCTCAGGAAATGGCTCATCAGGCAGCAGATTTTCATTTGGGAGCAGCAGGGAGAGCTATATCTACCTGGGGACTGTTTGAGGCACCAGGCCTTTCCACCTACACGAGAAGCAACACCAGTACCTGATGGAACAAAAAAAATCCCCCAAGCTGAGAATCTCCTAACTACCTCTGCTGCATTTTTTCTACAGCACACTATTGTACATCTACACAGCAACGTTATTTTGGAATAACTGATGTACACCTACACAGCAACGTTATTTTGGAATAACTGATGTTATTCCAAAATAACATAGCGCGCATTTACATTACAAGCTGTTATTTTGAAATAATGTTGAGCTGGAGGACTTCTTACTCCGACTCATGGTAACCCTCATTTCAGGAGGAATAAGGGAAGTCCAAAGAAGAGTGTTCTTCCTTCGGCTTCCTGCTGTGTAGACAGAACCTAAAGCCGAGTTAAGCTATTTCGACTTAAGCTACACAATGAACGTAACTGAAGTTGCATAGCTTAATTCAACTTTGGCCCTGTTGTGTAGATGTACCCATATGTCTCCTGGCCGCTTTTCCCTAAAGGACTGAGAGGGGAAGCGACAGACCTTGCTACTTCCAACCCTCCCTCCCGTTCAGAGGAAATCCTCTCCTTGACAGACTCAAGAAGAACGAAAATGGCCATCAATGGGGATGAGATAAAGCACACAAGGGTTGTTTCCCTAGTAATACATTTACATGCTCACTCCCACTATGTTTGGCACCTACTTGGGGTCATAGACATCTTTCACACACATTTATTCCCTTATCATTCCTATGCCCTGTCTCTCACAGAAGACACTATTGACACATTTCACCTTATCTCACTCTTTATGATGACATAAAGCCACCAGAATTATGAAGCACCTCCTTCCCTCTTCAATCTGTTTTAACCACTGCTTACCTTCCTCACAGGGACTTGCACTTCCACAGCAGGCTAGCCAGTTAGGGGTGTAGGCCCAGGGTGACCAGGTTTACAAAGTGTAAACCAAGGACAGTTACACAGCAGCAACAGTGACCAGTTGATAAAATACAAAAATCAGCTCCATCTCATCTAAACTGAAGCCTTTCCTCTGCCATGAACTTCCTGCCATCTGTTGTCCTGACTCCTCTACTTTGACCCCCTACACACCTCATCCCTCCTACCTCCTGGGCTCCAGGCATTCCTACTCCTTCCTACGGTCTCTGCTCGCTCACTCACTGGGGCAGGTCCAGGTCCAAATCAGGTAGATCTGAAACTTCTCCTCCCTAGTTGTCATCACACAGCTTCCAGCCTGCCCAGCAGAGCTGTGTGTTCTTTTTTCTCTTGTTCACGCCCTTTCTCTTCTTTTAACCCTGCTTTAAGCAGCCACGCCCAATCAGCTGGCCCAAGCTCTTGTTTGCCTCTCCTTTCCTCCCCATCCAATAAATACATTCTGCCACAGTAAAGTAATTAATCCCCCACAAGTCAATTCTGCAAACCACTTAATGCTGCTCTCCTTCCTTAAACCAATTAATTTCTCCCCACTACCTGTCTGCAGGCTCCAGTGCTTCCTTTGGCACCATGTGGCCCATCTCTGCTCCTCTCCTGGGTTTGTAGAAACACTCAGCCCCCAACCAATCCTCCTTCTGCATCTAGTCCTTTTACTTCTATTTCTCCCTTCTCTATTATAAAAGGAGCAGTGGTTCAGAGCCTGCTCTTTTTCCTCTCATCTGGAAAGAGCCACATTTTCTTGTTTCTTAGTTTGGCTATGTCTAGACTGCAGGGTTAGATTGAGTACCGCAAATTGTGCATCTTTTTCTGATTTACTTTCAAAAGAGGCTTTTCTGAAATTTGGCATGTCTACAAGGCAGCAAATTTCAGAAAAAAGCTCTCTTTCGACACATCCCTTATGCCTTGTAGAATGAGGTTTACAGGGATGGCAAAAGAGCGCATCCGCTTTTTTGATTTTTTTTTGAAAAAGCAGGCGCGTTCCTTGGATGCGGCATTATTTTTCCGGGATACCTCCGGGATATCTCCGATCTCACCATTACACAAGAAACAGTTCTAGGAATGCTTCCTCTCTCCACCACCTGTTCTCACTGAGATTGAGTAGGTATTTTGGTGAAGGTGGAACAAATCCCCAGTGCTAACAGTATTGTGAGACTTCTCCCTTCAAACTGGGAAAATCTTAGTGAATCAGGACATCTGGCGACTCTTGCTGAGCCAGTAATTCATAAGGGCCTGTAAAACTGGGCATCATCTTACCAAACTAGTGGTGCTGTTCCAGTGATTTCAGAAAAATATGTTATTTCACATCAGCACAACAAAAGGTGCTTAAGAGGTGCTTAATCAATAACTGCATAGCATCTGGCCTTGAAATCATAAGAACATTAGAATGGCCAGACTGGGTCAGACCAAAGGCCCATCTAGCCCAGTATCCTGTCTTCTGACAGTGGCCAGAGAGACTGAACAAAAACAGGTAATCATCAAGTGATCCCTCTATTGTCATCCATTTTCAGCCTTTGACAAACAGAAGCTAGGGATACTATTCCTATCCATCCTGGAGAATAAATATTTATGGATCTATCCTCCATGAATTCATCTAGTTATTTTTTGAGCCCTGTTAAAGTCCTGGTTTTCATAACATTCCCTTTGGCAAGGAGTTCCACAGGTTGACTGTGTGCTGCATGAATAAAAAATTCAATTTATTTGTTTTAAAACTGCTATCTATTAATTTCATTTGGTGACCTTAGTTCTTATGTAATGGGAATTAGTAAATAACTTTTCCTTATTCACATTCTCAATACCTGTCATGATTTTATAGACTTCTATCATATCCCCCTATAGTCTCCTCTTTTCTAAGCTGAAAAGTCCCAGTCTTTTTAATCTCTCTTCAGATGGCACCTGTTCCAAATCTCTAATCATTTATGTTGCCCTTTTCTGAACCTTTTGCAATGCCAATATATCTTTTTTGAGATGAGGTGACCACATGTGTACGCAATATTCAAGATGTAGGCATAACATGGATTTATATAGAGGCAATAAGTGTCTTATTCTCTATCCCTTTTAAAATTATTCCTAATATCTGTTTGCTCTCATTCCAGAAAGCTAGAGATGTGTATGTAAGTTCAAAGTAGCATAACTTTTGACACTAGCATAGAAAAACTAGAAGTGCTGAGCCAAAGGCCCCCAAGCCTTGAAATCCTAGTTAGTGAGCTCACAAAGGTCCGTGTCTTGGCATCCTCTCAGCAGGTTGTAAGTGTTGAATTAGTGACATCACAGAGACTTGTCTCATGCCAGTCAATCAGCATCTAGTGGTGCTGAATCAGTGAGGCCCCGGAGGTCTCTGCTTTGACATCAGTCCAGAAAACGAGAGTTGCTGAGCAGGGAATAAATTAAGGCAGATTGTGTGTGTGTAGGGGCGTGGGGTGGAGTGTGTGCAGGGGCCGGGAGAGAGAAAGAGTGAGCTCTCACTCATCTGCTATAAAGAGGGAGCATTCTCCTTCTTTTCCATCTCCTATAGGGAGATAAAGGAAGACTCAGCATGTGGGAGAATTTGCAGTGGGAGATAAAAAGAAAAAGGAGGTGGCTGTGTGGGCTTTAAAAATACCATAACAAAGCTAGAAAAATGATTAACAAGGACATGGGAGTAAACATTTTCCTTCCTACCTCTTGCTGTAATGTGTCTTAATTTGTCAATTATCAAGTAGAAGCAGTATAATCTGGGGTGTAGGAAGCTGAAGGAGAAAGAGGCAATTTCTTCCCAGGTACCCAAACACCCATTTGAAAATCAGATTTCTCCCTGCCCACTCTGAGATGAAGAACAGGTGAGGACAGGAAAATGATAGTAAGAAGGGATGGGTTTTGGATAAATGTTGGCTCATGAACTTGTTCACCATTTGTCATTGGCACTGAATAACTGTAAATAAAAAAACCTTTATATCTGAAGGAAACATAATATCTAATACAGTGAGTTAGTGTGACACAGTGGGGAGCAACCATTCATAAAACAATTAGGAATGCCTTTGGAAAAGGTTGGATGGCTGAATCACCAGCTACAGAAATGTGCCCTTAGGCTTAAATGAAATATTCTTCTTATGAACTTTCCCCAGTATTGATCCTTTTCTAAACATTTAGGGTATGTCTACACTAGTTCGTTAGTTTGAGCTAGGTAGGGTAATTAGGGCAACTGGAGTTGCAAATGAAGCCCGGGATTTAAATATCCCAGGCTTCATTTGCATATTCCTGGGCGCCACCATTTTTAAATCCCTCTTAGTCCGAACTCTGTGCCCGCGACTACACGCGGCACGGAATAGGTAGTTCAAATTAGAGATCCTAATTTGAACTACTGTTACTTCTCGTGGAATGAGGAGTAACGGTAGTTCGAATTAGGATCTCTAATTCAAACTACCTACTCGGTGCCGCGTGTAGCCGCGGGCACGGAGTTCGGACTAAGGGGGATTTAAAAATGGCGGCGCCCGGGAACATGCAAATGATATTTAAATCCCGGGCTTCGTTTGCAACTCTGGTTGCCCTAATTACCCTACCTGTCTCAAACTAACGAGCTAGTGTAGACATACCCTTACTGATATGCCGAAGGCAACGTAATGCTTTACTAGCCCACACCTTATCACACAAAAGCAAATGGACACTATGATTTCATGGATCACTGTGCATGGTGTAGAGCAGCAGTTCTCACAGTGGTCCCACAGCCCACCCTGTCCAATGCAGACCTTTCTGCAGACCACCAACCAACCAGCCATGATGACAATATTGGGGTTGAATTAGGGAATGCTAGTCTTGTGGGCAAAACACTCGCCTGAGTCTCAGAAGATATGAACTCAATTTCTAGTTCTTCCATAGACATCCTTTACCTTTGGCATGTCAGTTAACCCATCTGTTGAAAAACAGGGTTAATGCATACTTTTCTACTTAGGTTTGGGGCTCTTCTTGGCAGGGCTGACTATTATTATGTTTCTACCTTTCCTGGCACCATGGGAGCTCATATTTATTCAGGCTTACATGATCTTGTAAGACAAATAATAAAAGTTTAAAAAATAAAGAGAAGAAGCTTCTCTTTGAAACAAGAGGTAAATGACTGACTTTTGGCAGAAGATACTGGAGAAGGTTTTGTTCTGTCTAACTAGTCCTTAGACTCAGGAGGAAGGATGCTGCAAAAGTGGAAGTGGCACGTGGCCGCAACCTCCCTTCCTGAAGGAACAGACCCATATGCCGTCGCTTTGCCCCCAAAGTGTCCAGTGCTACTCAGGGAGATGTGGGTGCGTACATTGAGAGAAGTGTTGATTTAATATATCCCCACAGTAATTTAAAGCTGCCATAGGTGGCTCCCTGTTCAGTTTGCTGGTTTTGTGGATCCCACTTTTAGTCTCTCAATTGTGGCCAGACATAGGGAGCCTTAGTGCCTAATTTAGGGTTGAGGTATCCACTGTGTAAATCCTTTTGTAGGTCTTTCCTGTAATCCAGTGCTGGGCAACCTGTGTGGCCCATCAGGGTTCTATGTGACATATTATTTACCACTGTCTACATGCAGGGCTTCCAGATTCAGTTAGTTTCCATCCACTTCATTTTCTTCCTAGCAGTATTACTAAAGTGACACACACATAAATAAAGGGTACGTGAAGTGAGGTGCATGCCAATTTCACACAACACTGTGAGAGCCATGTGCTCTCTCTGAATCCAGTCAAAGTGCTGCTATGGTTCCGTTGGTACATCTTGCTAATTGTAGGTATGCAAGTGTAGTTAGCAAACCAGGAGACTGTCTTGGTTATGACAATTTTGCGGCCCACTGAGATGAAGGAGGGCCACTCATGAGGCTCACTCACTACCCTGGGTTGCCCATTGCTGCTATAATCTCTGCATTACTTTTCCAGATATTAATCTGAGTATGATATATTTAAATTCTGCTTCACTAGGCTTATGAAAAGTGTTTAGCTACCATTCGTAAATTATTTCCAAGATGGAAGTAGCACAAAGACAAAAACAGCTATAACTGCAAAATATTATGATAGATTTATTATTTAGATACCAGTGGGAGGTAAATTAAGACTGAAGGGATTACTGATTATTTTAGGATCCAAAAGAATACAAAGTTATATCAGTTCTGTGAAATATTTCATATCCAAATGAGTGCACAATGAACATTCAAAAATCATATACATTAGATTACTATTCAACATGCCATTGCCCCAGTGCATATAATTGAGATGCACCTCCACTTTTGTCATTCTGAATGCCGTACAGTGAGTTCTATAATGTACTTTTTGTTGTATAAGCCCCAGCTCTAAATAAGGGTTGAGAAGAAGTTTCTGTTAAATCTTCATGAACCTGCAATTGTACTTAAACTACAGATGCTGTAACCTAGAAATGTGCAGAGTAAAGCAGTGTTGAGTTTGGGTCCATGAGATATTATTCTGGAAAATATGTCTATAAGTTATCTACAAAGATGATTTTCCAGGTGCCCTTTCTAACTTTTAATGATCCCCTCTTCTACTGCTACCATATCAAGGGAGTAAGATCACTAGCTAAGGAATAAATTAATTGTATTACTAAATCCCTGCACACTGTGTTGAAAATCCATTAGGTTTTTAGGTCTGTTATGTAACTTAGGACTTTGGAAAAACCACATGTTTCTGGAGTGAATTCTAAAAATGGTTGTGTATAGTTTGAACCTCATGATAGCTATTAAAGTCAGTTTCAATCAATCAATCATCTAAAGTACAAACAAAGCCTTGAAAATTTAAACCTCCAGACTCAATATATCAAAATTGTAGAGATCCAGGGGACGGAGAGGGAAAAAAAGGGGTAAAGACTTTTCATACTTCAAAGCGTAACTAATAATGCCCTTGTCTATACTAGGGAATTATTTAAAAATAACAAGATGAGCGTCCACACTATCCAGCCCATTATTTCAAAATAAGGGACTGGTTATTTTGAAATAATAATTCCTGCTTTACTTGGGGTCTGTGTACACTACAGAGAAGATCAAAGTTGTCACTGTCTGTCTTCCAGAGTTCAAATTAGCGGGTCTAGGTGAAGACACGCGAATTCGAACTGAGAGAGGCGCTCTGGTCGATACTGGTAGTCTTGCTTCCACAAGGAGTAAGGAGAGTTGAAGGGAGAGTATTCTCCCTTCAACTTCCTGCAGTCTGGACAGTGCCAAAAGTCGAGTTAAGATACTTCGATTTCAGCTACACAATTAACGTAGCTGAAGTTGTGTATCTTAATTCAACTTTATCCCATATTGTAGACATACCCTTAGGGAATAAGCTTATTTCAAAGTAGTTATTTCGAGAGTTATTATTTCAAAATTAGTTATTTTGAAATAATTTCCTAGTGTAGACATGCCCAAGTGGATTAGTGCTGTCGTAAGGTCACAGGAAAAACTCTGACTCAGAATGATTGACGGTACCGAGAATTGTAAAAGATACAGAAGATTTTTCAACTAACTCAGTAGTTCACTTCAGTAATGAGCAGAAATCACGATAATCTAATGGTTGTTGCAGTAAGGAAAGTGTATAGAACTGGTTAGTGGTCTCAGTCTGATTCCTAGTTACTGTAGCCATGCTGTTTTAAATGATGTCATCACCAATTGTAGTCTAGAATCCCTTCTGTCACTCATATGCAGAGATATTTAGGAGATTGCAATGCACTGGAAAAGTACAATGTTTTAAATTGAAACCTGTGAAAGCTGCAAATCTCCATAACAGTCTTCCATGAATATCTTTTATTTCCATGACTACTATTTCTTCCTGGAGGACTGAAAAAAAAAGTCTATTTTTCCCCAAAGGAAATAACAGTTTAAGAATTTGAGGTGTAATCATTAATATAACTTTCCATTCGATAAATATGTTAAAATTAACTGAAATATTGCTCATGGGTATGTTTTAATATATATTTTTATTCCCCCCATTAGTTTTCATAACTGAAAGTTTTCCTTCAACAGAAGCCTTAACTGTGCTCTGTAGTGACTTATGAAAAGAAAAAAAACCCGTGTCTTTAAAAATAAGTTTAATCTAATCTGGGATCACAAAAACTTAAAATGATTCAATTACATGGCTTTTGCTCATTGTCACTTCAGAGCAGAAGTCAACCTGTTTGGGTGCCCCAGTTGTGTGTTTCCATATGATAACTTATTTAAGTTCCTTTTAAATTTAACTGTATTTGTATAGTGACTGGATTTATTGGTTTGGGGATAATACAATATCCTTGCAATGTATTTGACCTTAATACTACTGATATGAAGTCAACCTTCCTCATCCTTAACTCCATTTTAACACAGATTTTTAAACTTAGGAATTATTAATGATAACGGGAGGTTTTAAGCTTTCTCCAAAAGAAGAATCTGGTATCACTCATTGTTAGAGATATCTTGCCACGTTAGATGATTTAGTGGTCTTTTCTGATATGTTCTTCAGATGTCAAATATACAAAGTATTTATGTGAAAAGTCCTATCAGGGCCAATTATTTTTATTTTGTAGTCTTGCTGAGTTGAAGAAGTGGGTTGTACCCATGAAAGCTCATGATACCATCTACATGTTTTGTTAGTCTCTAAAGTGCCGCCAGACTATTTGTTGGTTTTTAAGTTTTCCCAGTTACAGACTAACTCAGCGACCCCCTGAAGCTTTTGTTCATTCAAGGTAAGCCAAAGGCACCTCATTGACTTTGGGACTTTTATATTTACAATTCTTGTATATTTCTTTCCAGATTTTGGCTTTGATTGTTCTATTGTAAATGGCCCTGCTAATGCAACAGTCCTAGTTGGTTCAGAGGCTCGGTTTAACTGTACTGTGTTCAAAGGATGGCGAATAATAATTTGGACTTTAAACACAAATCCTGTTTTATCAGCAAGTAATGTTGGCGGAGCTATTATAACAATAGATCGCTTCACTCAACAAAATTATACCAGTGGTGATGAATTTACTTCAGAGCTGATCATCCACAATGTCCAACAGAATGATTCTGGAAAAATAGAATGCAGCATCCAAACGACTGATCCCAACAGCTATGCTTTTCTTTCTGTGCAAGGTGTGTATGCATTCTCATTGTTGTCACATGATTTTTATTAAATTGTACTGAAAAGAAATCCTTTGGCACATGGCCAAAATGATCACTTTGCATTTGTACCAACTTCGTGTAATACCCCACACCTGCTATATTTCTCATCTTGAAAGCTGGATTAGTAATTTCACATGCAGATTGGCATTCCAAGGTATAATGAAGCTGCTGCTACAAAAGACTTCAGTTATATTCACTTTTCTTGTAACAACTCTTATTCTTTTTGGTCTGTGTGCTGGAAGCCAGTATCAGTACTGTCAGACATCAGTTGAAAATAATCTCCTTTGGTCACATTCTTCAGGGATTTTTTTCCTTTGGCGTTGCACATAAAACTTCTTCTGTATTTTATGTAAAAAGCCTTCCTACTGTCTGACCTAGGAATTGTCAGCCTCCACCCAGCTTCTTTGTGTTGGGTTTAACGTAGTGCAAACATTTAGTCTCTGAGTACGGAGGCGATACCTTGGAATGACTGCTGCTATACACTACAGCTACATCAGACATTCTCTCTGTTGACTTCTTCTAGTATCATTATTGTGAGAAAGTACATGTATCCCATAAAGTGGAATTTCCCTCCATCTACTATTTATTGGTCCAAAAAAGATGCCTGATACTAAGAGCCATCACCTTTCTATAAACATCCCTTGATAAATTCTGATGATACATGGTAGTTCAGCTGGTGCAGGAGATATTTCAGTGTGATCAAACAGTGTCACTCCAAAGCTTTCACTGAACAGATAGTGGAAAACTAAGTCTCGTTGTAAACCCAAACTGGACTACAGCATGGCCAGGAAGTTGCAATGACTCCATATTTATCTCATGTAAACAACACTCCTATGTTTTAGGTTTTCTATTTTATTTTATTTTAATTATTTTTTTTTACTGGCAAGTTTCAAAAAATGATTGATTTTTGGTAGAAAGAGATGATTTAAAATCCCCAAATAACACACCATTGCAGTTTAATATTCTGAAGGGTTTAATATTCTGAAGGAAGAAATCAACTTTTTTCCCCACAGTTAATGGATCTTTGTTCATTAAAAATCACAACTTGACAGTAAGAAAGAATGAAACAGTTGACATTGTTTGTGAAGCCTTAGGATGGGCTCCAGCTCCAAACATGACCTGGATGATAAATAATTCTTCTGTAGATAAGTCCAGGTATGTTACTAACCACAGTCAAGGATCTAATGATCTTCACAATGAAGTGAGCACTTTAACTTTGACTCCAATGGCCAATGAGACGCTGACTTGTTTAGCTGACATAGAGGCACTTCCTGAGCCCCAGAATGCAACTGTGACTCTTATTGTGCAAGACTTCCTTGCAGGTAAGTGAACATTCTTTATACTCTGACTTTTTGTTTTATTTTGAAAATCTTTTATTCCAGCTTAACGAATATGACACCTGCAAATGTAACAGAATCAAAATGGAGTAAACAGAAGAAACTACAATGGGATATTCTTGTAGGGTTAAATTCAGAAAATTCTCTTTATTTGGAGCAGCATGAGAGAAACAAAACTGTCCCACATGCTTGTTCAGGGGTTCATTGCATACAAAATTGGATTTTCTGCCTTTTATAAGATCTCACTCTATGAATTTAGGCATTGACAAAATGTACTCAGGCTGTAAAATAACAATAGATTTCGGTCTGTCAGTCACATTAACATCTTATGTTAATGCTATGTCTTGTTTGCTCAGGGCTAAATTCTAAAGTGAAATCCTGGCTCTATTGAATGTAGTGAAAATTTGGCCACTCACTTCACCAGAGTTAGGATTTCACCCACTACACACAACCTAAAGAAAACAAGTGTGCACCATAGACTGTGCTCCTCATAAAGTTATACCACAGGCATGGAGCTGTTCTGTCATTGCTGTTATAGCACTGTGGGATCACATGCACTTTCTGAAGCCTTACCCCAACTCAGGAGTTGTCATGCTTCATCAAACAGCTCTTTGACATAGTTCTCCAACCTCAGAGTGTTATGTGATATGGGATCCATATCGTGTTCTTCCCTGAAATGAAGGCCCACTTTGTCATGTGTCATGCCCCAGATAGTAGCCAGCACCCTCAGTTGTTGGGCTGACCAACAACCTGTGGCAATTAACTGCACACTTAAATGTGACTCGGATGCCAGGGGAATCACTAGCCAGCTAAGTAGCTAAGCTTCCACCTATTGTTGCCACCTGACTGGCTCAAAACAAGCAGCACTAGGGGCCAGTATCTGGCCCATAAGTGTATATTGACAAACCTCTTTTGGCACAGTGATGGATAGTTTTCTTTTTCAAGTGCTAGCAGAGTAAGAGAAAAAGTTCCTCAACTGGGGCTAAGCAGTGCTTGATGCAACCAAGGGAGGAGGCATGCAAATGTCCTTTTTGTCCCTTCAGTCTTGGGAATTGTCTGTCCACATGTCCCCAGTGTTGTAAAACAAGCAGAGGAATTTCAGGGCTATTGAAATGTACACTATGGTCATAGTCTGTAGCGACTGTAAGAAAAGATGAGATTACTGCCACACAGGGACTTACTGTCAACAGAACATGGCAGTAGTGTAGACGCAGGTATAGTTTTGTTGACAAAAGTCTACGTTTGTCAACAAAACCCTGTAGTCTCTAGACACACCCTGAGGTTTATGCTGAGCCTCTTAGGCTACACTGAAAGGTAAAGGCATGATTCCTTACTTGGGTACACATACTCACGCCAGTGAGTATAAATAGCAGCAGCAGCGTACTTGTGTTGAGTACAAAGGTGCCCACTTTTGTTGACAAAACCCTGTAGTCTAGACACACCCTCTGAGTGCTATGTGATATATGGCCCATTCCATGATCTGAAATGGGTGGCCCTGACATGATGAATCAAAGGCATTCAGATACTAAATTACAGTGATGGGTGTGGTATAAAAACCTAGATAAATAGATAGCTGACTGGGCCTTTTACTTTAAGTGTGAGCCATTATTACCAAGTTTCTCACGAGTATCTATTTTGAAATGCAATTAAAAAAGGTCATTTTACTGGTTTTAATAAGATTTCCTCTAATTTAAATTTCTTCTAATTACTGACTAAGCAAAAGAGATCTGTCCTGAGGTCTTAATAAAATGATTAAACTCTCCTGCCTACTCATTTCTAGCACTACTGAAGCATCCACCCACAGTTTCCATAGTTACGTGTTGTAAATCAGAAGAGGAGAAAAACTGATGTCACAGAGCACAATTAGCACATAATTAGTGATCATATAGGATCATCATGCTTTCCTCTTTGGGAAAATGATTGTGCAGCAGCAAACAGTCAAGATTTTCCTGAATAGGAAAATATAAATCCTATATGTGATTAACACGAAATAAAGACATGACACAATAAGAAAAATATTCTAATACATACCACACTTGAAATTTCTGAGCTTCTGTGCCATTTCATAAGCAGGTAGTGGTCTTATTGCTAGCCATCTAGTTATTCTGTAGGTCATAAAATTTGAATAGGAAATAGGGGTCGGGAAGGAATTTTCCTCCAGGGTAGATTGGCAGAGACCCTGGAGGTTTTTCGCCTTCCTCTGTAGCATGGGGCACAGATCACAGCTGGAGGATTTGAAGGCTTCAATATCTGAGACATAGGTGAGAGGATTATTCTAAGAGGGGTGGGTGAGATTCTGTGGCCTGCACTGTGCAGGGGGTCAGACTAGATGATCATAATGGTCCCTTCTGACCTTAAAGTCTATGAGTCTATGAGTCTAGGGGACTTTGGACCAAACTCTTTTCTGATATAAGCAGACTTCAATAAAGAACTGTCACTTTATGATAGTGCTATCCTGTAGACTCCCCAGGTAACTAATTGGAAGTGGGCTAGGCTAGCCAGACATAGAGTATGTCTCGCAGAAGCTGTGAGGTCTAATTTGCAGTGCAGGTAGATGAACACATGCTAGTTTTGTGCTAGCTAGCATCTAAACGTAGCAATGTGGGCTAGGCAGCATGGGCATTGATTTGGGCTAACTATGTATCAATGGGGACAGGCAGGATTGTACTGGAGTAGTTAGTCCAAGCTGTGCCACCAGGGCTACACTACTGTTTTTAGTGCACTAGCTTAGCAGAGCTAGTGCATCATTGTCTATCCCACATTGGGATTTATACCTCCCAAATGATTGGTAGACATACCCATAGAGGCAGACTTCTCCCAGCCAGACACTGCATGCTAACTCATCTGTTGATCTAACTGCTTTTCACTGAACCCAAAGACTCCCTGCTTCCTCAAGAATGCTAGTCAGTCTGTGCTCATCTATTTTATCAAAATAAAATCAGTTTTGCTTTGCACACAACATTCTCATCTGCCCCCACTAGATTACACAGAAGATCCCTCACATAGATTCGAATTATACACAGTAGGAAGTACCTTGACATTACTAATTCCCTTTCAATCCTGAAACATGGCTTTGATCCACTGCAGTGTAAATTCTACACAAACCTCATCTTGAAAGAGGTTGGAGATGAAGAAGAAATAAAGGAAGATGACTCCTTAAGTGATGTACTTTGTTAGGTCCATCGAAATAGCTGAAATTACCCTGGCACGTTGCTTAGCATACTTGTGTAATCCTTCTGAATAAGGAAAAAATATTTATTTGCTCCCATATTATAAGAACTAGGGGTTACCAAATGACATTAATAGGTAGCAGGTTTCAAAGAAAAGGAAGTTTTTCTTCACGCAGCGCACAGTCAACTTGTGCAACTCCTTGCCAGAGGATGTTGTGAAGACCAGGCATTTAATAGGGTTCAAAAAGAGAACTAGATAAATTCATGGAGGTTAGGTCCATTAATGGCTATTGGCCAGATTGGGTAGGAATGGTATCCCTAGCCTGTTTGTTAGAGGTTGGAAATGGACGATAGGAGAGGAATCACATGGTGATTACCTGTTCTGTTCACTTCCTCTGGGGCATCTGGCTTTGGCCACTGTGGGAAGACAATATACTGAGCTAGATAGACCTTTGGTCTGACTAAGTATGGTCTTATATTCTTATGAGCAGCCATCTTATTATAGTAAATGAATAGCCCATGAAAGCTGAAAGGTTGGTTCAATAAAAATCAGAAGAACAAATGAAGTTGCTTTAAAAAACATTCTAAAATCTTGGCATCCCAGTTCCTGTATTTATCAAGAAATATGAAACTAATGAGAGTATAGTGTTTGCCAAAGGAAAACATTACAGCTGACAAACAGAAATCTCTAGGCTATCACATATGGAGATTTGTTTTTAGGACTCATTAAAACATTGACTAACACACCTCTCTATTCATCTCTGAACTGCTTGTATATAACTTTGAAATGACTTAACACTACAGATTATTTTCTGCATGTATTTTACCATAAATCTGTATTGAAGTTAACTGCAAAAGGTCTTACAAGAAGCTAAATATAAAAACAAGAGCCTGAAATAAGTGTATTCAGAATAACTGATATTTGGTAGCAATAGCTTATTAAAATATAATTAAACATGCCAGCAAGATAAACATTTATTTCATATTTTAATGACCTTAAAATTCCCATAGCATTTTGTACGGCACAAAATAAAATAAAAGGCAGATTTATGCTGTAGATTAATTTCTTCCATGAAAAAAAAAATCACAAAGTACGTCACAATTGATGCATACATATTATCTACCAGGCTGCAGATTATGAAATCCCTTAGTTATGGTGAGGCTGAACAAAATCTTATATAAAAGCCAATCTTAGGAAGCATGACCTAGGATAGAGACATGGAAAATTAAGGGCTTGATTCTGCTTCCCTTAGTGTCAAATGGGAATTTGCCACTTATTTCATAGCAGCATCTGGATGCTCAGTTTTCTCAAAGAGTGCATTAAGACGCCTAGTCCAAGGGCGGGCAATAAAATGATGGGGTTCACCAAGGTTAGCCCTTGGTAGGCTGCTGCTGTGATATTTACCTATACCCCTGCAGGTACCAGTGATCACAACTCTCATTGGCTGGGAACAGTGATCCGTAGCCAACAGGAGTTGTGTTCCCCTGTACCTGCAGAGGTGTAGGTAAATATAGCATCAGTGACCCATCAGGGGCTAATCCTGGCACCTTGGATCCAGCCCACAGGCCGGTACTTGCCCACTCCTGCCCAAGACTCTTAAAAACAGACAGGATTCAGGTAGGTGAACAGAGAAGAAAGGCATTCCCGTGGTTGAGCACAGAATGGAAGAAAGATGGGTCGCTCCAAAAAAATCTAGTGTTCGAGGTTTGCAGGGACTGCTGGAAACAGAAACGCATTGAGGGGAAATTAGGTGTGTTGTGTATGGCAGGACAGGTAGGATGGAGGATCAAGAACCAATAAAGGACATTTAAAATTGAGGCTGACATTTGCCTTTGCATTCATACACATTATTTCCATTGCTCTCAATGGAAGTAATCTTTATGTGCACAAGGGCAAAATATCTTCTTAGGAGGGATACAATACGTCCTTGAAGTGCTCCAAAGGGGAAAAGATATGTATAAAAGTTGGAAAGCAGGAACATATAGGGTAGTAGATTATAATTAGTTCCAGGAACAGCCCCTCCATGCTGAATGGGCTAATTTGCATGATGAATTTACATGCTGAATGTCCATGAGGATTAGAGAAGAGACTAAACTGAATAATTTCTCAACTATCCAAGCCTTGGAGTGCTCAGAATCCAAATTCAAATTTTGTAGCTGGCCTTTTTCCTCTAATGGGCCAATTCAGAACTCCAGAAGAGCATGCGCAAACTTTGGGGAGTCTGAAATTTTGCCATTCAGACCCATATTTAATTAGGAACAATTAAAGGAACATGGTGCACACAAACCCGTGCAACAGAGGCAGTACTGTCAAAGCCAGGGTGAAAGTAACTTAAATGTCTTACTGGCATGGGTCCTGGATCCGGGTCCCCAGAAGGCCAGCCTCCCTCAGTGGCCCTTCAGTGCTGCCTGGCCTCTGAAGCCCAGGGATCCAGTGGTGATTTTAAGGGGCGCAGTGTTCCGGTCACTGGCGTTGCAGTTTCATTGGTGGCCAGAATCCCTGGGTCCTTTGAAATCGCTTGGCCCTGGGCCAGCTGACCCTTTTGCTTCTGCCCTCCCTGCCTTCACCATTGGCAGTCCTGCAGGAATGGTCTTTAAAGTGCTGCCATGGCAACACATCAGTGTCAGTTGTGTACCAGCCTGCCAGCCTGTACCAGTCTATGTTCACCTCTGGCCAAGGCTGTACATAATGCATACTTTTGGATTTGAAGTATGTTTTTAATACATGTACCAGGGTTCTATTTTGGACTGCCTTTAGAGCTGGCCTTCAGCAGGTCCCTTATCCTGCCTTCCTAACAGGGGAGCCAGCTCCATGCCTGGGGCAGCCTGTGTTGGCTGCAATTGGAGAGATCAAAGATTGGTCCGGTTACGTTAAAGAATACCAAAACTTTTGGATGAGCCTGATGGACGCGGCCATGTTAGCGTCAGAACAAGTGTCTGTTGTATGTTGTCAAGGCTTTTTCCCCACTCTGGCACGCTGTATGCAGAAGTGGGGCCCACAAAAGTACCCCAAAACCTTATCTTTCCAGACTTTGGTATAAAGCTTCCCCACAAAATCTTAAAAACCTAGATTTTGGGGATAAAAATCCGTTGCCACCACCCAAGTAATGATAAGAAAGCCCAGGGAGAGATCACTTGGGAAATCTCAGCCCTACAGTAAAACCAGGACAGAAGAAAATTAACCAATACCAGGTTAATAAAAAAGAAAGAGAAAGAACTTTTATTATCACCACAATATTTCTATTACAAGCATAAAGACTAGATGTAAAAGTCACCAATTAATATACTCATGGGGCAACCAGGGCTTAGTTACAAAGGAGAGGAAAACCCATTTTTAAATGCACAGACATCAGATTCCCATTCCCAAACCATAAAACAATAAAACCTAATGGATTTATCTAAACTTTACCCTACTTACAGATAGTGAAGGTGTGAGAGACATGCCTGGCCCCCTCAGTAGCTGGAGAGAAAACTGCCCAGGGACAAGGGAGGGAAAACCCAAAATTCCCTTGTCCCAGTTTGAAATTCCTATCTACATTTCTATTGGCTGACGGCTACCTGGTTAGGTAAGGGACATAGTTAACCCCTTAGTCCCCAGGTTGCTGGCTAACCCTCATGGTCATGACATATGTAGACAACTAGTGAAAGGGGAAAAGGTATCAACGTCAATGTTGATTATTTTCGGGGTGATACAGTGAGCACCTTTTCTTTGTGACAGCCAGAAAAAGGGATACATTGAAGGGATATTTGAAAAAGGGATATTTGAAATCACCCAATTATAGGGGGAAAAATCAAATCCTAGTTATATGAAAACACCATAGATGTATTATTGTACATCAGTATACACAATTATATGTTTTAGTCCAGTTTGCAGGAACACATTAAATTTAGCAAACTCAAACTCAATAGATGTACTGTTAACATACAAATCCTTTACAGTGGACAGCTGAGGTTTTATGAAGTGTTCACAATGAGTCTGAGCTAATTAATAGGTGTTGAAGCCAATGGAAAGACTCCCGTTTGCTTTCAGTGGGTTTTAGATTGGGCTCCGAATGTCTATAAAATAAGGGTAAATGGAAAAAAATGAAAAAAATTAGCAGCCTAGGTTTGTCAGAAATAGAACTAGAAAATAAAGAGAATAATTGTAACAAAGATTGTTAGGATCAAGGCATTATGTGTTATTCAGTATCATCCATATAGGGTAAATTCTTTCTGAAAACAAATAAGAAACACAATCCATATAATATTTTAAATAATCAACAAATAATTCAGTAATGCTTTCAGAAAGATGGTTATAGTCTTCAGAGAAAGACAGCCTGCAGCTCTGCTAGTGTAATGCTTCTTCATTTCATTTAATAGAAAATGGCAAGCAAGAAGACAGTACACGCACACGGACTATTATACTTGCAGTCACATTGTCAATTGGTTTTCTTCTTCTGATCATTATTATTTTTATAATAATATACTGCTGCCTAAAAAACAAAGGTAAGTGGATTTTTGCTAGTAGCTATGCATTTTTTAAATTGTCAATAAGACTTAATCCACTATTTCAGTTAAAGCATAGTGAACAGTTTAGTGAGGAATATTCAGGGCAGAGAGGTGATTCTGATAACCAGTGGCTTGTATTATGGAAGCAATTGCAAGCTGACTTCTTCTGATGTACTTGTTTCCGATGGAATTTGTGGCTTGTTAGTATTTCCATCTATAGTAAGCGGGAAGGGTAAGATTTTCAGAAGTGATTAAATGACTAGAACACAAATTTCATTGAAAGTCTATGTACATCTACACTGAGGCTATCTCTACATTACAAAGAAAAGTCAGAAAAAGATACTCAAAATGAAATTTGCGTCTCTTTTTCTGGGTTTTTTTTTCAAGAGGCTTTTCTGAAATATGGCCCATCTACACAGGGCCAAACTTTGGAAAAACCTCTTCTTCCGGGACATCCCTTTTATAAATACATTAAAAGCAAGAGGAAGACCAAGGACAGGATAGGCCCACTGCTTAGTGAGGAGGGAGAAGCAGTAACAGGAAACTTGGAAATGGCAGAGATGCTCAATGACTTCTTTGTTTCGGTCTTCACCGAGAAGTCTGGAGGTGTGCCTAACGTAGTGAATACAAGCAGAGAGAGGGTAAGTTTAGAAGATAGGATACACAAAGAACAAGTTAAAAATCACTTAGGAAAGTTAGATGTCAGCAAGTCACCAGGTCCTGATGAAATGCATCCCAGGATACTCAAGGAGCTGATAGAGGAGCTATCTGAGCCTTTAGCTATGATCTTTGAAAAATCATGGAAGACAGGGGAGATTCCAGAAGACTGGAAAAGGGCAAATATTGTGCCCATCTATAAAAAGGGGAATAAGAACAACCCAGGAAACTACAGACCGGTCAGTTTAACATCTGTCCCAGGGAAGATAATGGAGCAGGTAATTAAGGAAATCATATGCAAACACTTGGAAGGTAATAAAGTGATAGGGAATAGCCAGCATGGGTTTGTGAAGAACAAGTCATGCCAAACTAATCTGATAGCTTTCTTTGATAAGATAACGAGCCTTGTGGATAAGGGAGAAGCGGTGGATGTCATATACCTAGACTTTAGTAAGGCATTTGATACGGTCTCGCATGATATTCTTATTGATAAACTAGGCAAATATAACTTAGATAGGGCCACGATAAGGTGGGTGCATAATTGGCTGGATAACCGTAGTCAGAGAGTTGTTGTTAACGGTGCTAAATCCTGCTGGAAAGGGATAACAAGTGGAGTTCCTCAAGGGTCTGTTTTGGGACCCGTACTGTTCAATATCTTCATCAATGATGTAGATATTGGGATAGAGAGTACGCTTATTAAGTTTGCAGATGATACCAAACTGGGTGGGGTTGCAACTTCTTTGGAGGATAGGGACATAATTCAAAATGACCTTAGCAAGTTAGAGAAATGGTCAGAGGTAAACAGGATGAGGTTTAATAAAGAGAAATGCAAAGTGCTCCACTTAGGAAGGAACAATCAGTTCCATACATACAAGATGGGAAGCGACTGTCTAGGAAGGAGCATGGCAGAAAGGGATCTAGGGGTCATAGTGGACCACAAGTTGAATATGAGTCAACAGTGTGATGCTGTTGCAAAAAAAGCAAATATGATTCTAGGTTGTATCAACAGGTGTGTTGTAAGCAAAACTCGTGAAGTCATTCTGCCGCTCTACTCTGCACTAGTTAGGCCTCAGCTGGAGTACTGTGTCCAGTTCTGGGCGCCACATTTCAAGAAAGATGTGGAGAAATTGGAAAGGGTACAGAGAAGAGCAACAAGAATGATTAAAGGTTTAGAGAACATGACCTATGAAGCCAGGCTTCATGAACTGGGCTTGTTTAGTTTGGAAAAAAGAAGATTAAGGGGGGACATGATAGCGGTTTTCAAATATCTAAAAGGGTGTCACAAGGAGGAAGGAGAAAATTTGTTCCTCTTGGTTTCTGAGGACAGGACAAGGAGTAATGGGCTTAAAGTGCAGCAGGGGAGGTTTAGATTGGACATTAGGAAAAAATTCCTAACTGTCAGGGTGGTCAAATATTGGAATAAATTGCCAAGGGAGGTGGTGGAATCTCCCTCTCTGGAGATATTTAAGAACAGGTTAGATAGACATCTGTCAGGGATGGTGTAGACAGAGCTTGATCCTGCCTTGAGGGCGGGGGGCTGGACTCGATGACCTCTTGAGGTCCCTTCCAGTCCTATTATTCTATGATTCTATGAAAAGCATGAGTGGCGTGGAGAGGGTGCATAAAGAAAAGTTCTTCATTGTTCCATGGATTCGTTCCTTGGATGGGGCAGAGCTTTTCCAGATGCCTCTGGTATCCGGAAAATCTCTGTAGTGTAGACATAGCCCTCGACTTGTACAACTATACAATGTATACCAGCTATAAATGCATTCAGTACATTCCTTTCCTATTATTCTTTCCATGTAAGCAAGTGCACCAGGTTGTAATATGACTGCAAAGGGAAGGGGAGCGAAAGGGAGCTATGAGGCAATTTCTGTATTAAAATGTAGTCTGAACGGTGTGAGAAAGTAGGAGAATCTCAGCAACAAGCCTTATTTTATTTTTCTGCATTTTAAATCAATTTCTTCCTTTCTTTCAGAGTCCACCTATCAAAAGGAGTTGAGGTAAGTTGAAAATCATAGATTTCTCGCTCTTCTATGCCCCTTTTATGTTTCTGTGGTGCCGTAAATGAGTGATTAGCATCCCAGATCTAAGCAGGAGAGAACTGTACCCCCCCCTTATTTTGAAATAACAAGTGAAATGTCCACTCTAACAAAATAACAGGCCGGTTATTTTGAAATAATAACTCCTGCTTTCCATGAGGAATAATGCTTATGTCAAAATAGTTATTTCGGGAGTTATTATTTTGAATTTAGTTATTTTGAAATAATTTCCTAGTGCCCTTATACTGTCCCCACGGTAAGAGTAGGAGTAAGGGTCATGCCAAGAGAATTGAGGGAGGGCCACAATCTATATCACTGAGGGAATTCTGGGCAGCACTATCACTCATAGGCAGCCCTTCAATTGCTCTGGGGCATCACTGGCTCCCTCAGCATCTCAGAATTCTAGGGAAGCAAAGATGTCTCAAAGCCACCAGCAAAGTCTCCCCAACACTACTCTCTCTAGTCTGTGAGTACGTCTAGACTACAGGCTTTTGTTGACAGAGTCTTTGTTGACAGACACTGTCGACAAAACCTCTGTCGAAAAAGAGCGTCTAGACTACAACCAGTTCTGTCGACAAAGCAAGCCACTTTTTCGACAGAGAGTGTAGACGCTCTCTTTTGAAAAAACACAGCGTGGATGCAATAGCTCCTTTTGTTGACAGAATTCTGTCGACAAAAGGCGTTATTCCTCATAGAATGAGGTTTACCGCCGTTGACAAAACTGCCACGTTCTGTCAACAGAACACGGCAGTAGTGTAGAGGCAGGTATCGTTTTGTCGACAAAAGTCCACTTTTGTCAACAAAACCCTTTAGTCTAGACACACCCTGAGGTTTATGCTGAGCCTCTTAGGCTTCACTGAAAAGTAAAGGCGTGATTCCTTGCTTGGGTACACATACTCACGCTAGTGAGTATATATAGTATATACCTGTGTTGAGTACAAAGCTGCCCAGTTCCTGTGAGGATGTACCTGGCACAGCTAAGCCAGGCTCCAGTGCTGCTGTGGCTATGCCATTATTTATATTCATGCCAGTTTTCCTCAGGTTAGTGTGGTTTATATGGGAATGACACCCTTTGCTTGCAGTGCAGATGTAGCCTCAGAGGCAGAGCCCAAAATCTCATTCCACTTTTCTTTTTCTCCCCACAATGATTACCCAGCCTTTTCTACATAATTGGAAGTTATATTAGATACTGTAAATCGCTACCTTTAAAAAATTATACCCCCTGTCAGAAAGCTGCTCGTTACACTAATTGAAGAGAATCAGCACCGTCATATTATTGAAGACTGTGACTGATGTTCCCATAAAACTTTTGAAAACTATTAAAATGACATAGTTACTCAATCCCAGGTTCAGCAATATACCTAAGCATGTGCTTAACTTATAAGCATGTGAGCAATTCTAATAAAACCACTGAGACTATGCAGGTACCTAAAACTTAGGTGTATGCTCAATATTTTCCTCAATATGCGTTTAGATGTGCTCCTGTATGTCTAGATATTCATATTTTGCACTAGGTTTCCTCCAGCTTCAACACTCAGCATTTGCAACAAATTCCACAGGAGGTCACTGTGCACCATAAGAGCTCTCTCTTCCAAGTTTTTGTAAAGATTACAGTAGATTTACTGCTTGCACAGAGCACAAGCCTACTAGAATTTCTGTTGTACAGAAGGAAGATTGAAATTGAGACAGACTGATGCAAATTGAATGAGACAGTTTGGCAGACAAATTAGATGACGTCCTCTGCTTTTTAAAGGATCATCAGTTATACTATAAAAAAGCTGCCCAGCGATATCTGTCAATACTTCCTACTTAACCAAATGAGTATCAGACATAGCTGAATACAAAGCAAACGAATTGTTTTTGTATTACTGCATTAGGTTGAAACACCTTAAAATTGTTGAGGAAACGGTTCATCAATATTAAGATCCTAATTGTCAGTACTAATGTGACTAGGAAAACTTTTTCAATGGGATTATTTTGCGTTATTCTTTTTAATGTTTAGACATACATTTTGAATCCAATGACTGTGATATATTATCCTACTTTGCTTTCTGTCTCCTAGCTGTTTTTGATCCTTGACGATACTTTGCTTCTCACCCCATGACACTTAACTTCTTTTCTAACATTTTGTGCAGAACCTGGTCAACAACCTCTTGAAAATCTACCAACACAGCTACACAATACCACATGAATACATGTTATCATCCGGTTCTCCTTTATTCACTTTTTATTGACTCATTCAAAGACTTCTGAGAGATTAGTGAAACATTATTTTCCAGTGAAGAAACCACGCTGAGTAGTCCCTCTCATGTCTTTCAGGTGTTTCGTGATTCTATTTGTCACTATTGTCAACCAATTTATCAGGAACAGATGTATAAACTTGTTGGACTAAATCAACAAAGTATTTGAGGCCAAATATAGGTTCAAGTCAATTCTTATTTTTGATTCAGATAAAACTGCTGCAAAAGGAGGTGTCACTGTAACTCTCTGAGTCCTGACCAGAGTTCACTGTACAGATTAATCTGACCAGGGCTGAACCCACTGGTATGTCTCCACTGCAGTTGGACTCCAGCAGTTGGCTATTGCAAGCTTACTCAGGCTCACAGGATTCAGGTTAAGGGACTGTTTAATCATTGGGCTCTGGATGCAGCCTGAATTCTGGGATCCTCCCACCTCACAGGGTCCAAGAGCCCAGGCATCAGCTCAAATCTTGAATGTCTACACCACAATTCAAAAGCCCCTTAGCCAGAGCCCTATGATGCTAAGTCAGCACAGGCCAGTCATGAGTTTTTAGGTGCAGTGTAGACATACCCTATGATTCTTGGAAGAGGGATTCTGCACAACAGATGAAGTCAATAGTTCAGGGAATATACATGCTAAAACTCAATGTCTGAATCTCTGGTTTTGATTGAGGTAAATACTTACCAGTCTCTATCCACAGAGGGCCCAAAGAGAGTTTTTTTCCACAGGTTTTGAAGGTGTGCAAGGTGGAGCATAAAAGTTAAACTCTGTCTGGTTGCCTCTTTCCTGTGCACACATTTTATTGAAATAAAAAGGAGCTTGAATTTGTCCTGTGGTAAATTAAATTGGAGATTCATGAAATGCTGCATGCTTTTCCTAGCCTAATACAGGAAGTTCTGTTGACTTTAGTGGGACTACTCACATGATCAGAGTTAATCACATGCTTAAGTACTTTGCTGACACAGGGCTTTAGGTTTTAGATTGAATTTAGGAACTCTGTTTCATCTGATCTTGCAAAGATTTTAAGCATATATGCAATTTTACTTATGTGAGTGGTCTAAATGAAGACAAAGAGACTACCCATGTGTTTAAAGTTACACATGAGTGTAAGTGCTTGAAGGATTAGTGCTGTAGTTTTTCTAATTATATCTCTAAGGGTATGGCTGAACTGAGAGGATCTATCAGAAAAATATATATTAAATGTTCTCTGCATTTTGCGTATCTTTTTCCGATACTTTTGTTGGAACAGGCTTTTCTGAAATGTGGCCCATCTAAACTGGGCCAAATTTCAGAAGAAACTCTCTTTCGAAAGCCCCCTTCTTCCTTGTGGAGTCAGACATACAGAGGCTTCTGAAAGAGCATGTTTGCTCTTCTGCAAAAAAAACCCTGAAGAGTAAATGCGTTCCCTAGATACGGTGGAGTTTTTTTGGGATACCTCTGATATCCTAAACCCCTCCCACAGTCTAGCCGTACCGTACATGACTGCTCTCTGTCCCCAAATACTTCACTGGAATTATACTGGTTTCATATGGGGTTTTAAAAAAAAATTAATTGCAGTTTACTCATCCAATCCTAACATAAAATCATAGAGCTAGAAGAGAACCCAGGAGGCTATCAAGTCCAGCCACCTGCCCAAGGCAGGACCAATCCCAGGTAAATCAACCCAGCCAGGGCTTTGTCACGCCGAGAGTTAAAAACCTCAAGGGGTCAAGATTCCACCACCTCTCTAGGTAGCTCATTCCAGTATTTCACCACCCTCCTAGTGAAATAGTTTTTTCTTATGTCCAACTTAGACCTCTCCCACTGTAACTTGAGACCATTGCTCCTTGTTCTGCCATCCCTCACTACTGTGAACAGCCTCTCTCCATCCTCTTTGGAACCTCCCTTCAGGAAATTGAAGGCTGCTATCAAATCCCCCCTTGCTCTTCTCTCTTCTCCAGACTAAACAAACCAAAATCCCTCAGCCTCTCCTCATAGGTCGTGTGCTCCAGCCCCCTAATCATTTTGGTCGCCCTCCGCTGGACCCTCTCCAATGCGTCTACATTCTGTCTATAGTGGGGGGTCCAGAACTGGACACAATACTCCAGGGCTACGTCTACACTGGCCCCTCTTCCGGAAGGGGCATGTAAATTTCGCTAGTCGTCGTAGGGAAATCCGCGGGGGATTTAAATATCCCCCGCGGCATTTAAATAAAAATGTCCGCCGCTTTTTTCCGGCTTTTAAAAAAGCCGGAAAAGAGCGTCTAGACTGGCCCCGATCCTCCGGAAAAAGTGCCCTTTTCCGGAGGCTCTTATTCTTACTTCAAAGTAAGAATAAGAGCCTCCGGAAAAGGGCACTTTTTCCGGAGGATCGGGGCCAGTCTAGACGCTCTTTTCCGGCTTTTTTAAAAGCCGGAAAAAAGCGGCGGACATTTTTATTTAAATGCCGCGGGGGATATTTAAATCCCCCGCGGATTTCCCTACGACGACGAGTGAAATTTACATGCCCCTTCCGGAAAAAGGGCCAGTGTAGACGTAGCCCTCCTGTCTTTTTCTATCCCTAGTTTAAGCATGTGAATATGAATGTTATAAATTAGAGAAAGAAAATAGCTACACACTTAACCTTGTTGAATCTCATCAGATTTCTTTTGGCCCAATCCTCTAATCTGTGTAGGTCACTCTGAACCATTTCCCTGCCCTCCAGTGTATCTACATCTCGCCCTAGTTTAGTATCATCTGCAAACTTGCTGAGAGGGCAATCCATCCCCTCATCCAGGTCATTAATAAAAATGGTGAACAAAACTGGTCCAAGAACAGATCCTTGGGTCACGCAACTAGAAAGTGACTGCCAACCTGACATTGAGCCTTTGATCACTACCCATTGGGCCCGACAGTCTAAACAGCTTTCTATCCATCTTACAGTCCATTTATCCAATCCATACTCCCTTAACTTGCTGGCAAGAGTTAAAACCGTATCAAAAGCTTTGCTAAAGTCAAGATATATCACATCCACTGACTTTCCCATACCTGTAGAGCCAGTTACCTCATCATAGAAGCTAATCAGATTGGTCAGGCACGACTTGCCCTTCATGAATCCATGTTGACTATTCCTGATCACTTTCCCCTCTTCCAAGTGCCTCAAAATAGATTCCTTGAGGATCCCCTCCATGATTTTTCTGGGGATTGAGGTAACGCTGACTGGTCTGTAGTTCTCTAGATTGTCCTTCTTCCCTTTTTTAAAGATGGGTGCTACATTTGCCTTTTTCCAATCATCTGGGATCTCTCCCAATCTCCACAAGTTTTCAAAGACAGTGACCAAAGGCTCTGCAATGACATTTGCCAACTCTCTCAGTACTCTCGGATGCATTAAATCCGGACCTATCTATTTATTTAGATCTATAGAAGCATTGAAAATGTCCCTGTCTGAAATGCTAAGCGTGTTGTACGTTGTATGAAATGTACAGAAATAAATGCAGCAATTTCTCCAAATAATGGGAGCAAAGAAAAAAATTCCACTCCAACTATAAAATTCCCAGCCCTTCTTCTGCACACTCCTGTCCTCAGCTGTCTTGTCACTCCCCAAACACCTAAGCAAAGAGATCGGCCGTGCCTGGAGGACCCCAGACACGGACTATTTGGAACAAATGGTGATTAATATCCCTTGTATCTTGTAGCATAACAGAGTAATGAATACAGATATATTATTTGTATCCTGCTGGATACAAATGTAAGTTCCCATCCTGCAAATACTTAAATATGTGCTTAATTTTAAATGGATGAGCAGCCCTATTGACTTCAGAGTGAAAATGCACTTACCTGAAGTTAAGCATGTGAGTAAATATTTTGCAGGATCAGAGCCATAGGTCAGATTGTGACAGAGCCTTACATGCTGTGTTTAGGAGGGAACGCACATGAAGACTTCTGTTGCTATACACAACTAGCAAAAAGACCTGTCCCAGCTGTACACCCTCCATTTAACTCTAGGTGTGCATATCACTACAAAGGGGAGCTATGAAAGAAGAAGGGAGGGGCAAAGCTATAGTCTTGCCTCTCAATGAAAGTGGCCTGCTAAATCATAGAAAACTTTGAAATGGGTCACAGACTTGAAGTCTTAAGATGTTAAGCATCTTAATTTCCGAAATGTTGATTAAGCAGCTGCTCAGAACTTTATACAAGACTGTGCATGCAGTTGATACATTCTTTCAAGGATTATAAATTATTTTTCTCTACTTTTTTGAAAGTTGGACACATCTGCAAGTCCTTTTGCCTAGATCCTCAAAGGTATTTAGGTATCTACCTTCCATGAAAATCAATGAGAGTTAGGTGCCGAAATACCTTTGAGAATTTGGGCCTCGCTGTTGGATACTGCCTAAGGATCCTCATATAAGGATCCTCATAAAATATAGGTTTTAATTATAGAAACTTTCATTTCCAGAAAAGTTTCAACTAAGAAAAGCAATGATGGCGATGTGAAGACTGGGAGAAGCAGTGGTAGTGAAAATTCTGGATACATTCCAGAGGACTCAGTATACTCAGAACAAATACCAAGTGAGTCAAACATGTCAGTGACAATGAAACAAGCAAAAGAGTCAATTCACAGAATTCCAATAAATGTACCGTTTTTACTCTATATTACTTAAACAATGTCTTAGACTACTTGATAAAATATGGAAAACATGGTCTTTGCCTGGCTCTATTCAGAAGAGTTCAGATCTCTCAGAAGATAAGGGAGTCTTCCCAAGTAAATTGTAAGGATGGAACTTTGCCCCAGAATCTAAATGAACATGAACTGAGCATTTGTGAAGTTGCAAAAACTTTATTATTATTTTTAAAATTCTTTCATGTGCCTTTTTACTTCCTGTGGGCTAGAGACAGAGGTACCAAAATCCCACAAGAAAGGCCATTCTTCCAGTGATTTACAGTTCGACTGAAAGCAGAAAATGCAAGAAACATCACAAGAGAGACTCTTAGTTGAGATTTCCAACACAGTTTTGCAGAAATTATGATAGTATAGCTAACTCTTGGAACTTTAGATGTTTCTTTGAATATAACTTCATCAATGTTTTAATGCTTATTCATTATTATTGTTTTGCTACTCATGTTACTTAATAATAATTATAGTTGGTATTACTGTGTTTTTTAGTTAATTCATGCAAAAAATTTGTGTGGTTCATACATGATGTATGACCTATAAAAGTACTAATCTGGGAATGATATCTCATAGTAATATTTCAATATCCTCATAGTTTTTTCAGGCATACGTAGATATTTCTTTGTTTTATTATCTTATACAGTAACACGGAGATATTCTTAAGAGGATGATATTATGGACAATATACTTATGGAATGGCGAACCTCACTTATATATTCAGCTTACTATATAATAGAATTTTTAATTAGAGTTGGGCAATTTTGTGCTGGGGGGGTGGCATAATAGTAAATTCCACCCACAAATACATTTTTGGGAACACAAAAATGTTTCAAGAATTCAGGTTATTTTTGGTGACTAGTATGGCCAAAAAATCCATTTCTAACTGATGTTTGAACTGTTTAATTCAACCCACACAGCATTTTTTGCAGTGAAAAATACCAAAATGCAATTTCAGCTTTTTCACCTTGGCCACTGAACCAAAACAATTAACTATTATCTTATGGTATGTCTACACTACAGAGTTTTCTCAGAAAAATGGCGGCTTTCCAACAAAACCTGAGTAACGTCCACATTGCAAGCTCATTCTTTTGAAAGTAAATGGAAAGAACAGAGGGGTTTTTACGACATTGGTAAACCTCTTTCTATGAGGAAGAAGGCTTTTTCCAAATGAGTTCCTTCGCAAAAAGCCGTGTGTGAACGGGGAAGAGGAATCTCTTTTGCAAGAAGAAGAAGGAGGAAAAAGCACAGGTGCCCTGGTGGCCATTCAGCCCATAGTAATCACAGCTTACATGCAAGAGAGCATCTATTCAGTGTGGATGCTATCTGTTGAAAAAGCAGATCGCTTTTTCGATGCGCTTTGGCAGCGTGGACGCTCTCTTTCAGAAGAAGTTTTTTTGGAAGTTCTCTTCTGGAAAAGTTTCTTCCGAAAGAAGCCTGCTGTCTAGACATAGCCTCAGTGATATTCTTAAGCATGTATAATCTTGGGGCTGGAGAATGGAATAGTTAAAAATGCAACTGGTATATTTTAAAGTGCTGGTTTTTGTAATTCAGCTATGGTGAGCACACAGCAGTATCTAGGGTATGTCTACACTTGCAGCCTAATTCGAAGTAGGGCTGCAAATGTAGGCATTCGGAATTGCAAATCAAGCCTGGGATTTAAATATCCTGCGCTTGATTTGCATCTCCCCAGCTGGGCACCATTTTTGAAATTTACAAGCCTGGACTAACTGCCCATGTCTACACACGGCAGGGAAACCCTATTTCGAAATACCTGTTATTCCTCCTGCAATGAGGTTTAACAGGTAGTTGGAAATAGGACTTTATTTCGAACGCCCATTTCCCTGCCGCGTTTAGATGCGGGCAGCTAGTCCGGGCTTGTACATTTAAAAAATGGCGCCCGGCCAGGAAGATGCAAATCAAGCGCAGGATATTTAAATCCTGGACTTGATTTGCAATTCCAAATGCCTACATTTGCAGCCCTACTTTGAATTAGGCTGCAAGTGTAGACATACCCCTATGGGTATATCAATGATTGATGTATCATGTCTGGAAGATATAGGTGGAGGTAGAAAATTTGGAGAAAGTCCAATTCCTTGAAGAGCGTATGTTTTCCTGCAGAAATACAAATTAAAACAATTGTCCTTTGCAATTATTTCTGCATGTTGCTGAATATATGTAGGAAAATGTATTAGAGATTTCAGATTTTAGTGACAAATGACTAATGGAATGCAGCTTCCAGCTCCTATCCTGGAAGCCTGTTCTTGAACATATATAAACAGATAAGTAAATGTAAATCTCAACCAAATCCTCAACACAGAGGCAATATTTTGCTATTTCATAAAATACACGCTTACACAAGCTTAAGTAAACTTCAGCAAGAAGGTTCTACAGTCTCCTAGATTAGTTCCTTGATAAGTCATTAGGTAGAAAGCAACTCTGCAAAACACCTACAGTAACAAATCATATTTTATTTTTATACCCAAATGATTTATGGTTCATGCCATATTAGACAGAGAATAACAATGATCTTATATATTTTTCTGTTACAGGAGTCACTCCTCCTTCCCCAAGGGCCTCCAATTTTTATCGTCCAGAACAAGAATTAGAAGTCAGTTCCACATCAGAGGTAATGGGAAAATAACTTGCTGAGATCTTGACATTTTCATGTAGTTAATAGATACAGGTTGGACCTCTCTGGTTTGACACCCTCGGGACCTGACCAGTCCATTTGCTGGTCCAAGAGAGGTTGGTCCCTCTGTTGACAGACTCTGGATTCTGCTTAGGTTTGTCAGCAGATCATCAGGCTGTCCTTCCCTGGGCCATTAGGCTCCTGGCTCCACTGCCAGCCCTGGGACTGCTGGGGCTCAGCTGTGCCAGGCTGCCAGAGCTCAGTTGTCCCAGGACTGCTGGGACTCCGCAGCCATGGGGCTGCCCTGGGCCACCAGGACTCTGCCTTTCTGGTCCAACAACATCTGTGGTCCTGTTGAACCTGAGAGGTGTTGCTGGACCAGACAGTCCTGGACCAGAGAGGTTCAACCTGTACTATACTATTAATTTCTTAGACTTGCATCTAAAATTAAAAAGCTAAAGTTTGCTTTAAAATATATTTGTTTTCATAACAATGGCATTATACTTTGCTACCAGACTTAGCTACAGCTACACGAGTTCTAGGCTCCTCATTATACAGTAAAACCTGTGCTATCTGGCACTTAACTAGCCGGAAAACTTTAGAAGCTGGCAAATCTCCGAGCTGGAAAAAAAAAAGGAAACTAGTGCTTTAAGCCAGGCTGTTCTAACCCTAACCTCGCCTCTGCCAGACGTGCATGCAGCACATACCTGGGAGAGGGGCGAACGGCCTCTCCAGCCGCCTGATGCCAGGCTGCATCCCGTCTTCCCCTCCCCCCCCCACAGCTCCTGGCAGCCTGCCTGCCCTGAAGCTTGTGGCCACCTTGGAAGTCTCCCCCCGCCCATGCTTCCTCTCCGCCTTCCCCGACAGGCCACCATTGCCACCCTCCCACCATTGCCACTTCCTGTCACCAGGCCGCATCGTGCCCTCCCATCACTCGTAGTCCCGCTAGCAGGCCACATCCCAGACCCCGTACCACTCCTGCCACCCCCATAGGCCTTGCACAGCTCCCGCCCCCTTTGCCCCTCAGATACCTGGAATTTTTAGAAAACCAACACAACCTAGTCCCTGGGTGTGCTGGATAACACAGGTTTTACTGTATGTCCTTTTTTATTCCCAACCACCTAATCCCCCTCAAACCCATTGAACTGCCCCTGAACAAATTCTAAACCTGTGGTGGGCAACCTGTGATCCATGGGATGCATGCAGCCCATTGTGGTTCTGTGTGTGGCCTATTGCAAATAGTTGGCTAGTGTCCTCAACTGCACTGCATGTACACAAGGCCTATCCAAACCACACTGAACTCTGAAGGTGCTTTTCCATTAATTTTGGTTAGGGTGTGGATCAGGCCCATCCATTGTACAATGTTTTGACATGAAAGGGTGATGTAAGTATAACGTACAGTATGTGACATGCTATTGGAACTTGCTTTAATGCAATGACTATTTTACAGGAACTTCTCCATGGAAACTCATTTGAGTGGGGATAGGGAGAATGGACTGGACCATTATCAAAATGTCATTGATCAGAAAAGGAATGTGAGAGTACTTGATGGTATAAAAGGTGGCAGTTTATAATTCACAAGACTGTCTTCTCATACACGGTTAGCTGAGCTGTCTTCTCTGAAATCAGTAACTCACTATCAGGATAATATGGAAGTTCATTTCCTCTAGGATTTTTCTTCCTCTGGGCATGAAAATCTCTTGGTGTATTTGGTTTGGAGCTGAGAACAATAGCTATTACAAGAAAGCACTGGAATGACATTGAGTGATAGACTCAAGTGAATGTAAGAGCAACAAAGTGCCATGAAGAGTCATGTAGCTCAGTTCCATAACGATCTAGCCCAGTGTTTCTGACAGGGCTCCACAAAAGCACTTTGAGAAACACATTAACTGGCCACCCCAGTTCATTTATTTACTGGCACTGCAGCCACGGAGCCTCATGTCTCCCATTGGCTCCATTTCATCCTTTGCAGCCAAGGGGAGCCGCAAGAAGCAGCGTGGGCTGGGCCCGTTTCAGGAGTAACGTTCTCAAAGGAGTAACGTTAGTTTGAACCAAGGGGTTTGGTTCGAACTAACGTGTCCCGGCATGCACTTCCTGGTTCGAATCAGCTGTGATTTGAACTAGAGCACTGGCAAGATCATGCTAATGAAGCACAGGATATATAAATCCCTGCTTCATTGACTATTTCGAATGCCTGCATTTGCATCCCTAGTTCGAACTAGGTTGCAAGTGTAGACATACCCTCAGGAAAATCCTTGTATGCCTGTATTTTCCTTCTCTACAAGGGTGAAATCCTGGACTTAATTAAATGAAAGGGAGTTTTGTTCATTTAATCAGTCTTTGCTATGCTAGATTTTCAGGCTTGTCAGATTTGGCTTCTGGAACTCCAGTTGGGGCTGGAAGTTACTAGTACAGCAGTACACAGATGCCCATACCTGTTTACAAGGAGAGACTAGGACATTGTGGCTGCATCTAGACTGGCAAGTGTTTCTGCAAAAAAACAGATTTGTTTTGTGCAAAAAAGCCCCAATCGCGAAAATGGCGATCGGGGCTTTTTTTGCGGAAAAGCGTCCGTGCCAATCTAGATGCTCTTTTCTGCAAATGCTTTTAATGGAAAACTTTTCCGTTAAAAGCATTTGCGGAAAATCATGCCAGTCTAGACGTAGCCTGTGAGTTTTTTGTGGACTTTTAAACAACATTTTGCTATTGTGTGAAGTGATGTACTTCTATGGCATGATGAGAAGTATAGGTGTATTTATGTGGTTAAATGCCCAGAACGAGGTGCCTTGCATTTGTTTAGAACAACCACGAATGAGCTTAGATGCTCAGAATGAGGTGCTAAGACCTTACATTACTGTCTATGTTCTTAGGATGAGATTGCAACTTTAGACCCTGAACCATTTTCTTTACTTCCTTAGACTGGTACATAATAGTAATTCCACTATCCATGCTCTAAAAAGCTGCACATATGTAAGTGGGTGGGTTTTTTTTGTGAGGTGTTACAAAACAACTGAAAAGAAATCTGTCCAAATCATGGTTTCCATATGGATTCATAGGAATTACTATTTACTGTTACTTTTATTTGAAGCTATTCCATTTGCAGCGGCTACCGGCTCCTACATTGCTTCCTTGTTTGCATGGTCTTTGGTTGGTATGGTAACTTGGGTTGGGAGGTGCAGATCTATAGAGCAGCTTTCATAAACTGGCTAGCACACATGACATTCTTGGTTTGAAATCAGATTTTTCCTTCTCCTAGCTAGACTTCCAAGCCTCCCTTCCCCAAACACTCACACATTAATACTTGTAAATTAATGCTGGTGTAATCTGCATTGAAAAAATACCTCTGGGCATTCTCAGGAAGAATATGTTGATAATCAGCATAATACCATAAGCAGTATTGAAGTGTCTGAGAAGGGCATGATTGGGCACAGCTCTCAGAAAAGGCCTTGAAATACCAGCAAAATATGGAGGCATCCTAGGCTATGTCTAGACTGCAGGCTTCTTTCGAAAGAGGCTCTTTCGAAAGCATCTTTCGAAAGAGCCTCTTTCGAAAGATCGCGTCTAGACTGCAGGCGGATCTTTCGAAAGAAAAATCCGCTTTTTCGAAAGAGAGCACCCAGCGAGTCTGGATGCTCTCTTTCGAAGACGGCCTCTTTACATTGAAGAACGCCTTCTTTCAAAAGAGGAACTTTCGAAAGAAGGCGTTCTTCCTCGTGAAATGAGGTTTACCGCCATCGAAAGAAAAGCCGCGTTCTTTCGAAACAATTTCGAAAGAACGCGGCTTGAGTCTGGACGCAGGGGAAGTTTTTTCGGGAAAAGACTACTTTTCCCGAAAAAACCCCTGAGTCTGGACACGGCCCTAGTGTTGTGATCCCACCATTCTTAAAGGCGGCCAGATTGCAAGAGGCCTAGTCTGAGGATGTGTCAGGAAAAGCCCTGCAATAATGAGTCTCAGAGACCCGGTCATCTGACTCGGCTTGCTGGGCATGTGTTTTGGGACCAAAACATAGTCCTGTAGATCTTTGGACTCAGGAGAAACCTGGGCTCTGAGAACCCCCCCCTCTCAACTGTTTTCAGAGCCTGTTCTCCAGCCTGCTCCAGAGCCTGAGCCATATGACTATGACTCCAAGTCATTTGACCTGGGCTCTGAGACTCACAGTTGCTGCTCTTTTTGTTGCAAGTGCTGACATAAGCTGGCTCCCCCCCAGCTGGCTCCCCCCTCTGTGGTGCTGCCGACCTCCCCCTCTCCCCCGCACTGCTGCTTCTGATATAGGCAGCAGTGGAGGGGTGGGAGATGGCGGGGGGCTCCCTAGAAGTGGGGCCAGGAATACACTGGCTGCTGGCTCCACCTTTGTAGACTGTCGAATAGTCACATAACTGATAATATTTTGTGCGGTTACATGATTATGCAACTACACGCTATGTAGCGCACATCAAAAATATCATACCCATAGAACTGAAAGCCTAGGAGGAGGAAGAGGTGGTCTCGCACATGTAGGCACTACTGGACCAGAAACAGAATTGCTTTAACTTCCATATCATCAACTGCAGCACCACAACTTTAATTTTTACAAACCTTCTACCCTTTATTTTGCTGCAGTTGTACTCTTTCAGAAAATTATTGGCCTTCCATTTTTCCTCCATTCATATCAGAAAGGTTTTTGTTGGGCTTTTTCTTTTTTTATTTCTTCTTATTGAGTTCCATGTTTGTGTCTTATTTCCATTTTTAAAAATACATTTCTTGTGCTTTGCATATTGTAACATCTTGTAGTGATCGATTTAAACATTTCTTCTGTACAGCACATTCCCCAGCCTATGTGAAAATCAGATGCAAAATGCTAGGCATTAAGGACTCAATCCGGCACATATTGTAGCCAGTAGAAAAATTTCTACTGAATTCAATGCACTTTGTATCAGGCTTCTAATTAGGATCTTTAAACATGTTGACATCAAATTTGGCACTTACTTTTCAGTGATTAACAAAGTGCAAATTTTAA